GCTGGCTGGGGAATTCTGGGAGTTGAAGTCCGCCAGGCTTCAAGGGGCCAAGGTTGGACAGCCCTGCTCTAAAGCATCAAAGGAGAAAAAGGAAAAACCCTTCAGGCATTGGATCTTAAAAGAAAAAGGGAAAGATTTCTGTCCAGTTGTTCTCCAACTCTAGGGGCAAATGTTCATCTCCATCTCCTAGCCGAGGGAGCCAGCGTTGTCTGAAGATACTTCCATGATCATGTTGGCAGACATGAATCTACACTGAGGCACAAAGAACGCTGTTACCTGCCCACCAAAGTGGTACCTGTTTATCTACTTGCATTTGCATCTTTCAAACTGCTAAGTCGGCAAGGAGCTGAGGCACAAACAGGAGCTCACCCTGTCATGTAGCACTCAGGTCTCGAACTGCCAGCCTTTCAGTTGACAAGCCCAGCATCTTCATATCCCATTTTGCACTGATCCAAGAGCAATCATCAACCCCAAGTCAAGAATCAGCAGCTCGATCGGCTAAAAATGGAGAAGAAGAGGAAATGTCGCAGAGACCACTGTTGCAAATTATTTTTTATTGCTGGTTTTTTTTATTATTATTGTAAACATCTTTGAGGTGTTCTAAAAGCAGTATAAAATAATTGAACAAAATAAATATTGAAAGGAAGGCAGAAGTGAATAAAAATTGCCTGAACAGCAGTGGCAAAACCTTTTAAAGCTTATTTTTTTACAACCACAAAAAAGAGGGGTGAGGTGGGGTGAGACTTAGGGGCAATCATTACTGAGTTTCCTTTGACACCATCTTCTTCCTCTATCCCTTCTCCTTTGAAATGTCCAGTGGCTGCATTCACACAACAGGCTTAATCAGGTCAGTTACAAATTTAAATCAGCATTCTCATTTGTGTAATTGGTATTTAAATATGGCTAGGTCCTAGCCTAAACATCCCCTCTGGAATTCTGCAATAGTTTTCCACAGCTAGTCCTGCCCCAACATCACCAAGAATAGACAGGGGCTACCATCTAGTGCAGGGGTATCAAACTCAAGGCACGCGGGTCAAGTGTTTAGATCTGGCATGCGGGGTCACCCAAAAAACAATGAAGGACCAGCCTGACAGTGAAAACGGCACTCGGTTGCTGGCAGAGGGTTTCAGGAGGCCGTTGTAGCCGAAAACAGAGCTTGGGAGCCCGTTTTTGCTGGCAGAGCTCTCGGGCCACCGCAGGTGCCCTGGCACAAGTGACGTTGACCTGGCCACACTCACCATGCCCACCCTAGCCCCCTCTGATGTCAAACACAACCCTGATGTGGCCCTCTGTGAAATCAAGTTTGACACTCCTTGTCCTAGTGCAACCTTTCTCAGCCTCCGCAACTTTAGAATGTGTGGACCAACTCCCACAGCTCCCCAGCTGGCATGCTGAGGTGTGAAAAACACTTGAAGTTGCTGTTTAACAACACTTAACGGTTGTTTTAAGAGAATCTCTTAAAGACGCGAAGGTTGAGAAACTCTGAACCAATGAGACACACTAGGTATCTGGGCTCTAAGCAAAATACGATGCATCGCAGGGCAGGGAAACTAGCTTTGTTGGTTGCCCTACAGAAAAAGAAGATAATAAAAGCTGCAAGGAATAACTCTGGGTCATGGTGGGGGGGAGGAAGAGGAAGAGGAGGAGATCCGGTGGATGTTTTCACATAGGAGGTTTAACTATGTCACCTGTTGGTTAGTTTCAACAGTGGATAATTGTGACTTGGTGGCCTACCATATTGCACGATTCCATCTGATTGGCCAATATTGCAGTTGTGCAAACAAAGCAAATTGAATGACCATGTTGTGTGTAAATACAGCTTCTGTTTCTCATAGCTAGGTAAAGAGTTGACCCTGGTCCAATTCCAATTCTTTATCCATTAAAGAGGAGGGTAGAATTTCTTGAGTGGCTGGCTGAGGGCTAGAGTGCAAAACATGAGTGGGGCTAAGGTGCAGGTATCAAAATACTCAAATTGCTCCTATGTTTATATTTCATACTTAAAATACAGGAAAAGCTTGCTGACGATGTTCAAATCCAGTAAAACCACCCTTGGCTTCCCCTACTCACACTTGGCCAATCTGTCTGTTCTGAAAGAAATGAGTTTGTGGACCCTTCACGGGGCAGGAAACTTCTCCCACTGACCAAGACTGAAGAAAGAAGAACTGGGTGTGCAATTTGATTCCATGTCCAACACCTTCCTTCAGGTTTCAGGTGGGTGTCTAGCCACTGGTAACTACTACTAGAGAGAAGAGTTTTCCAGACTTTCTCAGTTCTTTGGTAAATCAAAGTTACAACAACTTGTCTGAGAGTCTGTAAAAATTCTCAGACATCCAGGTCATGGTTGTCCCAAAGGTGTTTTTTCAGGAGGCAACTGGACTTTCTTATTTTTTCTTTTGAAGATGTTTTGCTTCTCATCCAAGAAGCTTCTTCAGCTCTGACAGGATAATCCTTCCATCCTTCACTATCCTGTCAGAGCTGAAGAAGCTTCTTGGATGAGAAGCAAAACGTCTTCAAAAGAAAAAACAAGAAAGTCCAGTTGCCTCCTGAAAAAGCACCTTCGGGACAACTTGTCTGAGAGGGGAGATGAAAGCAGACCAACCACTGGTGGAATTCAATTTTTTTTACTACCGGTTCTGTGGGCGTGGCTTATTTGGTGGGTGTGGCTTGGTGGTCATGTGACTGCGTGAGTGTGGCTTGGCGGTCATGTGACTGCGTAGGCATGGCTTGGTGGTCATGTGACTGGGTGGGCATGGCTTGGTGGTCATGTGACTGGGTGGGCATGGCCAACTCAATGTCACTCACATCAAGGGGTTCCTCACCTGGCCCCTCCCCTCCCAGCCATTCCTTGTCACCCAGCCTCAACTTATCTATAGTTCTGTAAAAATGTTGTTCACCTTTTTTGACTTTATTATCTGCATACTATAGATGTACTTTCATGGACCACTGAAAGGAGGAAATGGCTCACATGCTTTACTCAAGAGTGTGATAGGCAACAGGCTTTTAAGGGGCTGCCACAAAGAAAGGGGGAATGTATTTTCCAAAGCACCAGGAGGCAAACAAGAAGCAATGGATGGAAACTGAACAAAGAGAGAAGCAACCTAAAACTAAGGAGAAACTTTCTGATAGTAGGAACAATTAACCAGTGGACCTGCTTGCCCCCAGAAGTTCTGGGTGCTCAATCACTGGAAATTTTTAAAAGACTGGACAGCCATTTCTCTGAAATGGTATAGGGTTCCCCCAAAAGTCCCTTCTAAGTGTTATTCTGATACTTTTCCCAGGACCTCTACTCAGAGTTTGGCATCCTCAGTTTTCCTGCCTGAGCAGGGGCTTAGACTAGAAGACCTCCAAATTCCCTTTCAACTCTGTTAAACACACATGTATTTATGCTCTGGACTATAGACATTGAATGCATGTAAACCCTGAAAAATATGTGGTAGCCCTGGGCAAAAGAAAGGCAGTAGAATCATTCTAGGTGTAGGGAAAGTGTAAAATATTAACACATGATAAATAATGGAACAATTAAAAATAATAGCACAGAGTTTTCTCTGTCTCTCTCTCTCCCTTCCTATTTCTTTTTCTTTCTTTCTCTTTCTTTGTCTCTTTCTGTCTCTCTCCCTTCCTTTCTTTTTCTCTCTCTCTCACACACACCACACACACACACTCTCTCCCCCTATTTCTTATTCTTTCTTTCATTCTCTTTCTTTCTTTCTTTCTTTCTTTCTTTCTTTCTTTCTTTCTTTCTTTCTTTCTTTCTTTCTTTCTTTCTT